TTAAGCAAGTTTACTTGGGATATGATGGAGTGTTCTTGGGTATATGCCCAGGAGTGGTATAGCTTGAGGTAGATTGGTTTCCAGTTTTCTGAGAAACTGCCAGATTGATTTTCATAGTGGCTATACAAGTGGCTATACACTTTGCTCACATCCTCACCAGCATGAGCTGTCACCATTCTGACAGGTATAAGTTGGAATCTCAGAGTCATTTTGATTTGCATTTCCCTGATAGCTAAGAATGATAAATGTTTAAGTACTTCTCTGGCATTTGAGATTCCTCTGTTAAGAATTCTGTTTAGATTTATACCCCATTTTTAATTGGATTATTTGGTTTGTTGATGTCTAGTTTCTTGAATTCTTTATGTATTTTTGAAATTAGCCCTCTGTCAGATGCAGAGTTGGGGAAAATCTTTTCCCATTCTGTAGTCTGCTGTTTTGTTCTTTTGATAAATGCCTTACATGAGGTCAGTTTCATGAGGTCCCATTTAATTGATTGATCTTTGGGCCTGCACTATTGGTGTTCTCTTCAGGAAGTTGTCTCCTATGCCAATATGTTTGGAACTATTCCCCACTTTCTCTTCTATCAGGTTCAGTGTATCTGGTTTTATGTTGAAGTCTTGAATCCATTTGGACTTGAGTTTTGTGCAGGGTGATATGGATCTATTTCAATTCTACTTGCAGACACCTAGTTAACCATTTGCTGAAAATGCTTTCTTTTTTTCCATTGTGTATTTCTGGCTTTTATCAAAATCGGGTGTCCATAGGTGTGTGGATTTACATCTGGGTCTTTGGTTCGATCCCATTGATCAACCTGTTTTTATGCCAATACCATGTAGATTTTATTGGTCAATTTATTATTGGTCGGTAGTTACATCTTAAAATAAGGAATGGTGATATTTCCAGAAGGTTTTATTGTTCAGGATTGTTTTAGCTATTGTGGATTTTTGTTTTTCCATTTGAAGTTGAGTATTATTCTTTCAAGATCTGTATAGAATTGTGTTGGAATTTTGATGGGAATTGTGTTGAATCTGTAATTGTGTTTGGCAAAATGACCATTTTACTGTGTTAATCCTACTAATCCATGAGCATGGGAAATCTTTCCATCTTCTGATACATTCTTCAATTTTTTCCTTCAAAGACTTGAAGTTCTTGTCATACAAGTCTTCCACTTGCTTAGTTAGAGTTATAACAAGATATTTTATTTGTGGATATTGTGAAGGGTATAGTTTCCCTGATTTCTTTCTCAGCCTGTTTGTCATTTGTACATAGGAGGGCTACTGATTTTTTTTAAATTTTGTATACAACCACTTCACTAAAGGTGTTTATCAGCTGTATGAGTTCCCTGGTAGAATTTTTGGGGTCGCTTATGTATACTATCATATCATCTGCAAATAATGATATTTTTACTTCTTCTTTTCCAATTTGTATCTCCTTGGTCTCCTTTAGTTGTTCTCCTTATTGCTGTACTAGAACTTCAAGCACTATATTTAATAGATATGGAGAGTGGACAGTCTTGTCTTGTTCCAGATACTGGTGCAATTGCTTTGAGTTTCTCACCATTTAATTTGTTGTTGGCTATAGGCTTGCTGTAAATTGTCTTTACTATGTGTAGGTATGTCTCTTGTATCCCTGATCTATCTCTCCAAGACTTTTATCATGGAGGGAATTTGGATTTTGTCAAAGGCTTTTTCAGCATCCAATGAGGTGATCATGTGGCTTTTTCTCCTTTCAGTTTGTTTATATAGTGTATTACATTGCCAGAGTTTCATAGGTTGAACTACCCCTGCATTTCTGGGATGAAGCCTACCTGATCACAGTGTTGATGAGTGATCTTTTTTATATGTTCTTGAATTTAGTTTGTGAGTATTTTTGCATCATTGAGGGTTTTTGTTTTGTTTTTGTAACAGGTTCTTGCTATGTAGTCCTGGCTAGCCTAGAGATTGGACTTGATTTCACAGAGATCTGCCTGCCTCTGCCTCCCAAGTGACAGGATTAAAGGTGTGCACTATCAGGCCTGCCTTCAGTTACTTTTAATGCCAAAACTTTATTGACTTTCCAAACTTGTTAACAGGCATCAAGCAGAACAGAGTTACAAACGGTGCCCTGTATTGTTAGTAACAACTGGGAACCTATTTACTGTTTTTTTGAGGTTAGTAATCCAAGAACATTCTGTGCTGCGTGTTGTTTTGGAACTAAGGATTCAGCAACTGAAATGTTCCAGATTCTATATTCTAGTGACAGACAGGTATCTGGAGTGAAATCTACAGAGAACTATCACTACAAAGTGGTCTTGGCTCAGTATGCCCCATAGGAGGAAGGGAGTCTGCCCAGCATCCCACAGGTCCTTCTACACTGTGTTACCAAAGAATCTATTTTTCCATGAAAGCCTAAGGACTATGAAAGAAGCATATTACCCCTCCCTCTTCTACAACTACACACTAAAGTAGTTCCTTGGGGAGCTAGTTAAGAAATAACTCAGGATCTTTAAGCAATTGTTGAAGAAAAAATACTCAGACTTGATAACATATGAGCTTCCGAGGGTTGAAGTAGATTTTGCCACCAATGTGGAATGGCTAGTCTCCCTCTTACTTGAATATTACCTAGGACCTGTTTCCTGGGACATAACCATTTGTATTTTTGGAGATATGATACTCTTCATGCTCTCTAGGAAAGCAAAGAATGAGATGAAAAGTAATACTTGGGGAAAAGACTCCATCTCAACCTTTGGTTTTTGAAGACAATCTCTATGTAGTCCTGGCTCTCCTGGAACTCCTTTTTTTAGACCATGCTAGTCTCAAACTCACAGAGATCCACCTACCTCAGCCTCCAGGATGCTTGGATTAAAGACACACTCCACTACCCCTGGCTCAATTCCAACTCTTAATGGGAATGGGGCACCAGTACTCTTCTAGTTGTATCCACCTCTGATGTATGAGTCTGGACCACAAGAAATGTAGTTCATTGCATCCTTGTTGGGTAGAAGTCACCATTTGTGAAATACTAGAAGAAAAGTAGGTAGAAACTTTTCTCACTGGACAGGTTTGATGAGATTGATAGAATGGCATTATAAATGATAAGCTCAGGCTCCAGAGTTGATTTGCTATTGGTGGGATTCTGTACATTTGTGATTCCCTTGCTTCAGCCTCTTTAGTTGAATTCCTGTCCTGAACCTTGGACAGAATCACAGCTTCTAGAGATATAGTCTGTTGCAAAGGTTTCTTGGAATCATGTATACAAAATGGCTGGCATTTGGTTATTGAGAACACTGGGATCACCCTCTGGGCTCAAAAACTGAAGTTAAAATTCTGATCTAAGAAACCCAGCTTGGATTATTCTTCCATATTGATCAATGAACTTAGATTAGGTTGTGTGGTTACCTTAGGAGATGATTGAGAAAAATTATTTTAGCAGGTGAATTCTCTTTCAACTGCAGGCTTAAAACTTAGAATAAACAGTTTCATGTTTGGGTAGATAAACTGGCATAGAATCTGTAGGACTCATAGGGTATAGATGTTCAAACCTCTAACACCAACCAAGGAGGCTGAGGCAGGACGACTACAAGTTTAAAGACCACCTGGATAGTTATATATTGTCTCAAAATGTGGGGGTGGGGAGGTGCTGGAGTAGAACTCTGGCCCAAAATTCATCAGTAAGATGCTTCAGATGTGCCTCAGGAGTCAACCACTTGCTTAGGATCCACCAGTAAAGAGCTTGGGGTGTAGCTCAGTAGTAAGGTATGTGTTGGAGATCTACCAGTGAGGGCCTGGGGATATGGTTCATTAGTAGAGCATCTGCCTAGAATTCCCTAGCGAGGGGCTGAAGTGTTACTCAATGGTTAGAGCACCTGCTTAGAATTCTACTGGGCGGGGCTAAAGGATTCAGGAGCTCACAGTCATCTGAGCTGCATGAGAGCTCAAAAAGGGGGAGTACAGAAGTGCTGTCGGAAGTTCTTAGACCACAGTAAAGTGATGTAAAGTCTAGAATTGCTTCTTATCTGGGTGATAACAAAGAAGGAGAAATAAGCTAACTTCTTAGGCACTGGATAAAGATGAATATTGTTTGCAGAAGGTATTTGCACTGTATTTGATTGTATTTATCAATCAGCCTTTAGCAATCAGTGTCTGCTGGTTGACTATGGCATTCAGTGGACAAACATGAGAACTCAAGTTCAAATCCCCAAAACCCATGTAAAGAGTCAATTGTGACAGCTCATGTTTGTAAATCCCAGCCCTGGTAGCCAGAAGATCAGTAGACCAAGGTCATCCATGGCTTAGATCAGGCATGCTCCAGGTTTAGGAGAGACCCTGTATGGAAAAAAATAAGTGGATGGGTCCCTTGTTGTCCTTCTGTTGCTGTAGAAAGACAGCAGGACCAAGGCAAAGTGTAAAAGCATTTAACTTGGGACTTGTTTTTACAGTATTGGAAGTTAGTCCATGCTTATCATGGCAGAAAGCATGGAGGCAAGCAGGTCGGTACTGTACAGAGCAGTAGCTGAGAGTTAACTAATCCCAATAGTACACTGCAGAGACAGTGAGACTGGGCCTGGTGTGGGCTTTTGAAAGCTCCTTCAACATGGCCTCACCTCTGAATCCTTCTTAAACTGTAGTCCAAACATTCAAATATATGAGCCTATGGGGACCATTCTTATTCAAACCACCAGAGTTAGGGCTGGAGAAATGGTCCAGTGTCTAATAGCACACACTGCTCTTGGCAGCCACCAGTGTGGCTCACAACCAGCTGTAACTCTAGTTCCATAGAATCCCAATGTCCTCTTCTGGGCTCCCAACGGCACCTGCATGCACACATAGACATAAAACAAAATTCTTTTTTTTTTTTTTTTCCAAAACTAGGCAGGTGTCTAAAAGAGGAAAGATACCATGGCTGACACACATGTACTCCCACATGAGCACACACGAAGCTGAACACACCTCTAATCGGGCGATTCCTGAGTGTCGAGTGAACAGCTGCTTACCCAGGTCTGCAGTTTTAAGGCATTGAGGATGACAAAGATGAACACTCAAGCCTGTAACCCCACACCTCATCCTGACACCTGCCCAAAGCTAGCCAGCAGAGCCCTACAGAATGCATGTGGTAAGTTCCAAATTGCCACATCTTTACCTGCCTTTCTCAGTTGCTTCACTGTACTTCTGAGGCAGAGGACCTTACTATCATAGACTACTACTACTACTGAGCAGAGGCTTGCCTTAATTCCCCTCTGTAGTTTGGAAATGAAGTGTTCTCGTACCCAGCTGGGGCAAGTAGATGGTGACTTAATAACAGCATTCTCTCTTCCTCTCTGTTGCAGAAAGCACAATGAGTAAGCCAGAAGACAAAGGTGAACCAAGCCTGAGTGAGCAAGGACAAGAGGAGGAACAGACTCCAGTTTTGCAGGCAGGGTGGGGTGTAAAGAAGATAAAGCCACATGTTGTATCATTTATCTGAAGAATTAGACCCTTGAATTCATGTATGTACATACAGTATTAGAGTTTGCTTACCAGCACCCAAATTAGGTGGCTCAGAGCCACCTCTGACTCCATCTCCAAGAGATCCAACACCTCTTTCCTCTGCCAAGTGCTCATACATATCCATCCACAGGCACAGAATTAAAAATAACTCCCTTTTTTAAAGGTGGCTGGAAAGGAAGGCAACCTAAGGTTGATCTCTGGCACCCGCATCAGCATGCACACACATACTTGCACTCACCACATGCCTTAGACACATGCACACTAACAATTATTCCAAATTGTTTAGAGGTGTGGGAAGGTAATTTTGGGTTTCTCAGTGCTATGGTCTATGGAACTGGCCTTATTCAGCTATCCCCACTGGTTTAAATGTTTCGGGATAAATGACTCTCTACATTTGTCTGCAAGATTTGGGGGGCCATTCTTGATCCTATTGGTTCTATCATGAATTTTAAAATCACCTTGACAATTTCTTGGAGGGAAATGGTCAGCGAGGCTTTTGATAAGAGATTGCATTAAATTGCATGAATCTGTGTTTGGGTATATAGCTGTTATTAGTAAGGTTGAACCTTAAGGCTGATATTGTTCAGTCATGAAAATGCTTGCTGCTGATAGGAAAGGTCCTCCTCCTCCTCTTCCATCTGACCCTAGCCTATCTGGTCTCATCAGGACTGGCTGAATCTTCCTATGTGGCCTGGTAAGGCTGTACCCGCCAGAGAGAGTGATCAAAGAGCTGGCCACTGAGTTCATGTCAAAGACAGACCCTGCTCCCCTTACTAGGGAACCTACTTGGAGACTGAGCTGCCATTGGCTACAGGACTAGATGAGGGGCATATGGGGAGAAGAGGGAGGGAGGGTGGGTCTGGGAGGAGATGAGGGAGGGGACTACAGCTGGGATACAAAGTGAATAAACTGTAATAAATTAATTAAAAAATTAAAAAAAAGAAAGTAGGCTGAGCAAGCCATGTGAACCAAGCCAGTAAGCCACACCCTCCATGGCCTCTGCATCAGCTCCTGCCTCCAGGTTCCAGCCCTTTTTGAATTCCTGTCCTGACTTTCTTCAGTGATAAACTATGATCTGAATGTGTAAGCCAAATAAACCCATTTCTCCCCCCTCCCTCCACTCCCAAAAAAGAAAAGAAAATGCTTGCTGCACAAGAACCTGAGTTCAATTCCCAGAACCCATATAATGGGGCCAGGTGGGAGGGGTATGTGCCTATAATCCCAGCAGAGACAGGAGGATCCCTGGTGCTTGCTGGCCAGCTCAGTCTATCCATATTCCTGAGATCTGGGTTTAGTTAGACTCCCTAAAAATACAATTGGTGACAAGAGAGATGGCTTATCAGTTAAGAGCACTGACCACTCTTCTGGAGGACCTAGGTTCAGTTTTTAGCACCCACAGGCCAGGTCACAGCCATCTGCAACTGTAGTTCCAGAAGATGACACAGCCAGCACAGGGTACACAGACATACATACAGGGAAAACATTAATAAAATAAAGATAAATGCATCTGTAAACATTGAGATTGAGAGTGATTGAGAAAGAATAAAATTCAACCCTCCATAGTGTTGATAGGAGCCAAAGTTAGGCTTATAGAATGAGATCAACATCTGCCCAACAGAAAGCTTACAGATGCAAGCTTCTGCCTAGTTACGTCTTATAGAAATGGTAATACAATTTTCGTTTGGAGGTAATAGATAAAATTAGTTTGGGGTTTTTCTATGTGTGTAAGTTCATACATGTGTGTGTGTGTGCTCACATTTGTGCATGTATGTATGTGTGTGCATATGTTTGCACATGTATCTGTGTGCATGTGTTTGCACATGTGTTTATGTGTAATTTCTCATGAGAAAGCTATTGCTCAGAAGAAGCTAGACTGAACAATGGCTCTAACTAAGTTGGTAGAGTGTTTTGTAGCATGCATAAAGCCATGGGGTTCAGTCCCCATCACCACATAAAACTGGGCATGGTGGTGCACACCTGTAATCACAGCACATAGATGGGAGGATCAGAAGTTCAAAGTCATTGTTGGCTACATCGCAAATTTGAGGCCAGCCTGAGTTATGAGATTCTTGTATCGAAACAGGTTAATTAAGTAACAAGAACATTGTACATAGCTATCTGACTTAAAACTAGGGAGAGGGAGGGAAGGAAGGAGAGAGTGTGTGGGTTGACACATTTGTACATGTTAGGAGAACATATATTGCTACATTATACATTGTACATTGATACATTAAAGGCAATTAGCATATTCATTATTTTAAATGCCCATCATTTCTTTTACTATAAGTTAGTTCAGATTCTTCCCAGAGATGTTCTAAGCCATTGTTAATTATACTCATCATGTAGATATGTATTTCAATGTCACTAAAAATAAGACTTTGTTCAAATTTTGTCTTTTATTCTGTCCTTTTATCTGACTTCGTACTGTGGAGGTGACCTGCAAGACTACAAGGCCCATGTGGTATCTAAATTCGACACAAGTATGGATGTATGCTCTGACAGCCCAGAGAAGAAAGCATTGTCTGATGCTTTTAAACAGAAAGCCTCTGTCCTCACACTGTTCTACATGGAAAACCAGGGATTGGGAAGCTGGCTTTGGCTGAAGTATCATGCTGGGCTGGGCACAGGGAAAACTCTACCAAGACATGTCCTATGTCCTTTTCTTCTCTGTTAGAGAAATAAAGTGGACAGAGAAGAGCAGTTGGGCACAGTTGATTTCTAAGGAATGGCCAGACTCCCAGGCTCCAGTGACAAAGATCATGTCCCAAACAGAAAAACTGTTGTTTGTCATCGATGATTTTGACAATATGAACTCTGTCCTCCATGATGACATGACACTTTCTGGAGACCGGAAGGATGAACAGCCCATATACATTCCTGATGTACAGGCTTCTGAGGAAGGCCCTCCTCCCACAGTCCTTTCTCATCATCACCACCAGAAACACAGGCTTAGAAAAACTCAATTCAATAGTGGTGTCCCCCCTCTACATACTAGTTGAAGGACTGATTGCAATAAGGAGGATTCAGCTAGTCCTCGAGAGCACCCCTGATGACCATCCAAGAATGCAAGTCTTCCAATCTGTGATAGAAAACTCCCAGCTATTTGACCAATGCCAAGTCCCTTCCATATGCTCTCTGGTCTGTGAGGCTCTGCAGCTGCAGGAGAAACTGGGAAAGATATGTACCCCAGCCTTCCAGACCCTCACCAGTTTGTATGCCACCTTTGTGTTCCACCAGCTCACCCCAAGAGATCTTTTCCAGAGCTGTCTCAGTCAGGAAGAGCAAGTTGCTCTAGTGGGCTTGTGCAAGATGGCGGCTGAGGGAGTGTGGAACATGAGGTCAGTGTTCCACAATGACAACCTGAAGACCCATGGCCTAAAGGAGTCTGAGATCTCAGCCCTCTTTCACATGAACATCCTTCTCCAGGTGGGCCACAGCAGTGAGCAGTGTTATGTTTTCTTCCACCTCAGCCTACAGGATTTCTGTGCTGCCTTGTATTATGTTTTAGAAGGACTAGGGGACTTGTATCAGTATATTTTCAATAAAAACCAAAAGAGCAACTTGGAGCTGAAGGAAACCAATGACACTCACCTTCTCGGAATGAAGCGTTTCTTATTTGGCCTCACGAACAAGGAGACCATGAGGACCCTAGAGGTTCTGCTTAGATGTCCTCTATCCCCAGCTGTGGAGAAGAAGCTCCAACATTGGGTTTTTCTACTAGGGCAGCAGGTCAAAACCACTAGCCCAAAGGATTACATGGATGCCTTCTACTATCTCTTTGGGTCTCTGGATGAAGAATTTGTTCGTTCGGCTCTCAAAAACTTCCAAGAAGTGTGGCTTCTGGTTAACCAGAAGATGGATTTGATGGTATCTACCTACTGTCTTCAGCATTGCAGGAGCTTGAAGGCAATCCAGGTGGATGTTGAAGACATGTTCTCTGTGGATAAGATTCCTGAGCTGTGCCCTATTGCTCCCCAGAAGTGAGTATGGGGTGATTCTTCTCCCAAGCCAGTTAGTAATTTTTGTGTGTTACTGGACTTAGACATTCAGAAACATTCAGGGTACCAGATGGCTCTTAAAGGATAATCTACTTACTAGTAGGACTTGACCTGAGTCTGGTTGTCAGACTGAGTCCCACGCTGGGGCTACAGCCGGTAGATATATTTCCCTTGGCAGCATGCTTGCCTAGCATGAATGAAGCCCCGAGGTTAGGCCCTAGCACTGCATAGACTGAGTGTGTTGTGGTAAACACCTGCAAGCCTAGAACTCAGGAGGAAGAGGTGTCAAGCTAGGTTCCACTGACAAGCCAATTAGAGCAGCCAAGTTAATGATAAAATGTAGAAAAGATTTATTCATTGTGGCCACTTGGGAAAGAGAAACAGATCAAAAATCCATAGATATCTATTGACCCCCTCCCCGTAGTCTATCTTTTGGATCCTGAAGTGAGGTTAAAATAGAGATGTGTAGAACCAGACAGATGCACATTAAGTAGTTTCGATCAAGATGTGTGATCCCTGCCAAGCGCTGATCCATCATCTGCCCCCACCCCAGCCTCTCTAGCAACATGGTCTGCTTTGTGCAGAATTGCTCTCTGAGAGGCAAGTTCTCCTCTGGCAGGCACCAGGATCCAGCCTTTCTCTTCTCCCACCATGAGACTCCTGGGAGATTGACAGTATCCAAAGTCTGATAGTCAGAATGATGAATAGATTAGTGGACAAACTTATCTAGGCAGGAGGAGGACTCAGAGATTACTAATATGTCCTGCTCTAACAAAGGACCAGAATTTGGTTCCCAGCACCCAGGTGGGATGGCTCACAATTACATAAGCTCCAGGTCCAGGGCCTCCAGCACCTTCTCCTGCCTTCCACAGGCAACTGCATTTATGCATTTATGCACATAGCCATACACAGGCACATGACATCATCACTATATATTAAACCACAATGTGCAGATGGTCTAAGTTTTGTTCCTCTTGATTGTGATTTTGTGATCTTTGACCAACTTCTCTCCCCTCCTCCTCCCAGTCTCAATCCACCACTCCACTATCCACTTCTGGGAACTTGTATTTAAAAAAAATACTTAGTTTCATTTATTTATTTCTCTCTCTCTTTCTTTCTCTCTCTCTCTCTGTGTATGTGTATGTATGAGCGTGTGTGCATGTCAAAGCATGCAGGGAAGGCCAAGAATAACTAGAACTTATGAGTGCCCCACCACAGAGGTCTCAGGCTTTGAGCTCAAGTCGTCAGGCATCACAAAGTCTGTTCTCACACAGATAGTAAAGCTGTGTCACGGAGTCATGTTTTCAATTAACTATTTACTTCCATATATATTCTGGCATACTCCAAGATCACCTGCAGCTGAGGGAGGGCAAGAAGTCAGCAAGACTCCCAAGTCAAGGGTCCTGTAATTCTCTTGCTGCTACTAGGAATTATGCATACTTCTTCTAGCATAAACCTGGCTTTTCCTGTATTCTGTTCAGTCAGTTGCCATAACTAACAGGAAGTTGTAATCTGTACTCCAAGATGGAGTTGGAATGATCATATAATCTCCAAGGTTAAAAAAAAAATCTAAAGAGACTAAAGAGATGGTTCAGTAGTTAAGAGTACTTGTTGCCCTTCCAGAGGACCTGAATTTGGTTCCTAGCATCATATTGGGTGGCTCATAATTGCCTATAACTACAGCTCCAGGGAGATTTGATGCCCTCTTCTGGCCTCTATGAGCATATACACAGATGTATGTGTGTGTGTGTGTGTGTGTGTGTGTGTGTGTGTGTGTGTGTGTGTGAGAGAGAGAGAGAGAGAGAGAGAGAGAGAGGAGAGGGCGACTGGGAGGGCTTGAAGGCTCTCTGATTGGTCTATCATACCCCCAGGGGATATTGAAGCTGGTCCTGTGGAGCACCAGGCAGCACCCACTGAGCTGGCTTTATTTCCTCAGCTGTCCTGTACTCTCTCTAGTCTAGTCTCCCTTCCGTGGCCTTGCTGTGGCAGTCACTCATGATTAGTCACTCGTGATTGAAAATGTGTTCAATCACATTTTCCTCCCATTTTTCTCTCTCACTGACCCAGGACACAACATAAGCACCTCCTCATACAGTGGTGGGAGAAGTTCTGCTCTGTGCTCAGCACCCACTCAAATTTGGAGAAGCTGGACTTGGGCAGCAGCATCTTGAATGGGCCATGAAGATACTGTGCCTCAAGCTGAGGAATCCATCCTCTAATATACAGAATCTGATGTAAGTGCCACCCGGCCTGGTACAAGCAGTCTTTCCATGGCATCTCCTGCCAGACAAGGCCCAGCTATAAACCCTAAGGAGAGCTGTATCCTGAGGGAATACGTGCTGTAAAAGATACCTTGCATGAACCAAGTTACTTATGCACGATGTAGGAGATGACTAAAGGACCTTATAAAAGGAGGTGCATGGGTTTATTGAGGCAGGCTTAATTACTGTGGATTTTGAAGTATAAGTAGGGGTTGGTTAGTAAGGGAAGAAAATGAGAGGAGGACTTTGGGGCCAATCATATAACATGACATCAAGGTACATGATTTATGTGCTCTTTGATCACTCTTTAATACCTTGAAGCTAGTGAATACTGTACAAACATGCAAACAGCTAACCATTAAATATAGAAGGGCCATAGCAGTCAGTCTGCAGAGAAGCTCGTGTGCAGTTCCCTTCCGAATATGCAGTTTGCTGGAAGAAAAGGGCCTCCAAATGGAAGGAAAGCAGAACTTACTGAAACAGTACAATATAAAGAGAGCTAAACATGATGAACTTTCAGGTGGAGAGGTTCCCTTTAAACACTGGAGAGCAACTTTATTAAGACTGAGAACAAGGCAGAGGGGCTAGAGGGATGGCTTCGTGGTTAAGAGCACTGGCTGCTGTTGCAGAGGACTCGGGCTCTATTCCCAGCACCCACAAGCTGACTCACAACCTCTGTAATACATCCTCTTGCCACCTCCACGGGCTCCTGCATGCATGTGATGCACATGTATACACATTAACATTGTTTTTTTAAGAGTGCAAATGAGAATGTGCTTGAGCCAACATGGGGGGGGTGTAGAGTTGAGTCCAAAGGAGCCACTTCAGAAAGCACCTTCATTAACATGTTTCAACAAATCCCCGGGAAGTCTCTGGACCTAATCCCCAGACCAAAGGAAAGGTCTGACTTTTTAGAAGTAGTGAGAAGTTTCACATCACATGATTTAGTTCAGTACAGCATATGTGACAAGGAGCATGGAGAACCCAGGTGTCATCAATTAAGAGCTGTCAAGTCACAACACAGGCAGCTGCTTAAGTCTCTGTCCTGGTGAGAGCTGCAGGATGTCTTGGCCTGTTCTCTGGCTGCAGGGTCTGGCCTTTTGTAATATACACTATACTTTAGAAGCAGCCCCACGAATACAATCCCAAACCTGCTACAGATGCCAGGGATTTTTGGGTAAGAGAGTAAATGTCAGCTCTACTTTAGAGGGGGGGGAAGTCCACTCTCTAACTTGCCCACCCAAGCCAGGAGAAAGCTACATGACATCCATGTTGGGGCTGGTCAAGTTCTTGACTGCTAATGCACACCTTGAGTTTCTGTCCTGACTTCCCTAGAAGACGAATGAGAAGCTGTAAGATGAAATAAACCCT